ATGAGTTCGGGAATTGGTTGAAATGATAGAAAACAAACGAGAGATAATCGTTGTCGTTATGTACTTCTAGCAAGCTTTTCTGCACAATTAGATCACGTAATTGCAGCCCCCTTTTCCCAAGACATATCAGCATACATGTAATTGTAGTGACAGAAAATAAGGAATTACGCATTATTCCAGAAACTTCCGCAATCACGGGATTCTTAGTTGCGACAGATGCACGTGCATATCGATGTCGTAAAAATTACGGTACATATATCATAAGGTAAGATCGTATGCACTCTATCCTAACGATGACGATTACTTCCTTCAGAACCAATTAAAGAAAAATCAAGTTTTATCTAATCATATCGATATCACATTCACAAATACGATACATGTATATCGATATTAATACAGTATGTATCCATATAACATTTTTACGTGGCAGTAATTTATTCTTATGTGGATTCAAAGATGAACTCTAAAACTCACGATTCTAGTAAATGCGGTTATTGTCAAGCTGAAGAATGCTGCCTAGAATGTTGCAATGATCAATATCAATTGTATGAAGAAAGTACTAGCGGAAATAAAGATATCGATAATTTAATAAAAAATTGCTCTATTCGATGGATACCTTTCGAAAGATTTGTCAATGTTGAATTCCTTGCAGAAGGCGGTTTTGGAATTATTTATAAAGCAACTTGGTTGTACGGAAAACTCGAGAAGTGGGATCATAAGGAAAATAAATTCAAGCCAGATTATGGATATCAACGCAAAGTTGTGTTAAAATCATTACGTTATTCAAAGCAAATTTCATTAGAGTTTCTAAACGAGGTAATAATTTCTCAAATAAAATAAATAAATAATTGTTACTAAATGATATTACGTAATTTTTCGAAAATAGGTTCGAACTGCTTTAAAGTGTAGAAATGATGACATTTTACGATATTATGGAATAACTAAAAATCCAACTACACATGAATTCTCGATAGTAATGGCTTATGCAGCGGGTGGCGATCTTCGCAAATATAGTAATTCCGACTACGAATTGTGTTGGCAAAAAAAATTAGGATATCTAATTGATGTCATCACTGACCTCAGAAAAATTCATAACAAGGGGTTTGTACATCGTGACTTGCACCCTGGAAATATTTTAATTAATTATTGTGCTCTTATTGCTGATTTTGGACTCAGCGGTCCAGCAAATAGAAAAAAATCTAACCGAAAAATCTATGGGGTCCTTCCTTATATTAGTCCAGAGGTATTAAATGGTAAGCCATACACTAAGGCTGCGGATATTTATAGCTTTGGGATGATAATGTACGAGGTTGTAACCGGAATACGGCCATTCGGTGAACGAAATCATAATGAAGATCTCGTATACGACATCTATAAAGGAGAACGTCCTAAGATATCTGATAATGTTCCCGGATGGTGTAAATTTATTATTGAAAATTGTTGGAATCCTATTCCAAAAAAGAGACCCACCGCTGAGGATCTATATCACTTTTTTATATCAATCTACTATGTTGGTCGTATCGATGAGAAGTGGAAACTGAATAATTTGCATTTTCAGTACTATAACTCATTAGAATACTCCAAAACGCATGAAGAAATTAAACAATTGCTCAAGCTAGAAAAACAGAAATTAAAAGAACTTGATGAAAAGATGAAATCACAAAAAACAATCAATATAAATAGAAAGCAACAAATCCATTTGGATGCAATTTATACCAGTCGAACCTTTACTACAAAAGTGATTTCAATTCCAAGTGATACCGGTATGTCTAAATAAAATGGTGTTGACATTTCATCCTCATATGAATTGAAAATTGTATCATAATGTTTAGGCGCTACAAGCGTAACTTTGTATGTACCAGCGAAAGGTAAAGATAACTTTTATATTAATTCCATTAACATTTTTATTGTGATGATGTATACCAGATTTTATCAGACTTTTTATATGATGATACATGTATGTATAATATTTGAATTACAGATTCGAATGAAGTTAAAGAAGACAATTCAAGCTTCTATCAGCAAGTTCATGAAAACACATTACAACAAGATAAGTCATTATCAGACACTATTAAAAGATTCTTTTTTGTCAAAGGAAAGTGATAACTGCCTTTAAGTTATATTTATAAAATCAAATTAATTAACATAATTTTTTCAATTTGTCAGTCATATTAACTGTATCTGCTAATTTTTTATAATTAGAAGAATAATTCAACACACAAATGATTACGCATTTTATCATTATTTTTATGTATTTTATCTTCTAAGACTTTTATATTTAAACTTACAGTATATCATGTACTTAAATAGAATCGATATTATACGTTCAATGATACACGTAATACGCGTATATTTTAATTTATGACCTTTTGACTGAAAACATTATGAACAATACTATTAACATAATATTTGCATGTAACTTATATGTATTAAAAATTTTTCGGCTTATATTAGCAATAATATTATTCGCTACTTAAAAATAGCAATATTACATTATATTTTTACTTTTCAATAGTTTAAATCTTAGACTAAAATAACGGGCAAACTATAACTTTGAAAATTAATCTTATATTTAGCCTTGCTCAAACCTATTCCGTGCATTTTGTCCTGGCGCACTGAAAGATAAAGAATAGAAGTTTTCTAAAAAATTAAATTGAACCAATAATATGGTGAGAGAATATTGTGTGTTAATTATTTATAAATCAAACTGATAAATTTTTAATTTAAACAATGATAAAGAATCGTTTAATAAATGAATTTCTAATTCAAGAATCTTATGTTGAGACAAGGTGGAAACAAGGCGAAAGGGCTCAAGATAATAAGCAAGCATGTGAAAGAAACTAACTTGAATATTTATATATATGATTTTAATGAATAAGTTAAATTTTTTGCAATAGGATGGTTTGGAACAATTCATAACGATAAAGCAATATGGTTGAAGAAATTAAAATGTGGGATCATGAACAAAAATTTAGATATTGATACATATAATGATAGATTAATAGAAATTATGTTGAAATCTCTAGACCTTTTAAAACACGCGTAAACGTAAAATGAACTTTCTTTAAAAGTGTCTTTATTTTAATCGAATTTTTCAAAGATAGATTCTGATTTTCAATATTATGGAAAACCAAATACGTAGCAATGTTAATTCCAAACACGAAGGCATGAATTAAGAGCGAGAGGAAATGTATTTAATATTATGACTTTATTTTAGTATACTAACATGAATTTAAATTAATTGTTATCATAATCAAGAATGCAGAATATCCAAGTTCTTAAAAATATAAGAAAGATACACATAAATAAAAGGGTCTGGTGTGAAATCCCGAATGAACAAATCCCGAATGAACGAATCCCGAATGAAAGAAATCGAAATTCCGAAATCGTGATAATTTTAGTATTTCATACAGTTTGGGATACATATACCATACTTTTGTGATTTGATCTTTAGGGCTTATGAACGTTCGGAATTTCGTGATTCGGGATTCACAAAAATAAAAAAATATAAAAAGACAATTTTGCATAATAAAAATGGGTGCTGTACCCAAATCCCGACGCCAAAATCCTGAATGCTCAACATCCCGAGATTTCCAAAATCCCGAATGCCAATAATCTCGACACCCACAAAAAATTCTTGAAAATAAATAAAAGTAAATTAAAGGTATATAATACATAAAGGAAGTAAGGAATGCAAGACTAGCACAAATTTCACCCTTACAATCGTTACATACATTTCGCATTAATGTTTTATAGCAAAATCGTGTATTGTCGCGATTTTTAGTAAGACCGGATGTTGAAAAGTCGGAATTTTGGCTTTCGAATTTTGAGGTAGATCCAATAAAAATATAAGCTTAGATATTTATTTGTGTGAGCTCATAGAAATCACTTTTTATTTTAAATTAATATAAAATACATTAGATAGTACCTATTGAACTTTTCAAGAATTTAAAATGAAGTAATTCTTTTTGTACAAACCCTTATCGTTATCTTATCTTGATGAGCTCTGACCAATCAAATTGCAGAAATCAGTAGATAATCAAACTTGAATAAACATCCCAAGTAATTGAATTCTTCTCAATCGAGGTCAAAAACGAAAAATTTTACCGTAAAGCGCTCGGCATGTACCCTCTCCTGTAAATTATTAACCAAAGCGTTCAAGAAATTACATTGTGAATTTAAATTTATTTATTTACGAAATAAATAACTAGGTCTATTAAAAAAAGACAGATTAAATCACAGGCAGTAACTTGAGATTTTAATTAAATAAACCGGGATGGATTGTCTAACGCTCATAAAAATGAAAAGTTCCATTTTCCTTATACATTGTATCGTTCAATTGAGAAAACATTCAGCCAAATCGGAATTTCGCCTAAAGATTTCCATTTCCCCTTTCGACGTGTGCTGTTGGTTTGGTTCTAAATATTTCCACCCAATAGGATTATCACTTTCTAAGCGTGAATAACTTCATCCCTTACTGTCGTCAATAAACACTTCAATTAGAAGTCAGACAGTTTATCAAATTCTTATTCCTATGAAAATATATTAAGCAAGAGTTTTTTATATCGATATCCTTTCTATCGCATTCGTAAGAGTTTGAACAAAGATTAATTATGTATGGAGTTTACGACGAAAATAAAGCTAATTGAATTATAGTACTAAAAACACGTGTACGCGTAATATGTGAGTTTAAGTTGACGGAAGAGTTGCTTTGTCTATACAGTATGTTGGATGGAATTTATAAAGACATGTATGACAAATGTGTTCTGATTATATTGTTAAACTGAATCACATAGGCGGATGGTAGTGAATAAGTCATATTTCAAAAGTTCGACGTAGCTTTGCAATATCTATTGTAAAAATATAATTATCACAAAGCAACTGCAATGATATCACTCGAATTTTATCACAGTTGCAAAATTCATTTTTTAAAAAATATAGACAACGAACATCAATAAAACTTTACATAAAAATTCCAATTACTAAATACATTAAACTATCTATCCTGAAGATCCGGTAGTTGAACCATATGTACGTGCGGGGGTCGAGTCGTACGTAGCAGGTGGAATAACACGTTCAGAATCATGAGTATCAACACTGTCGTATTCTGAGCGAAGGTTCTGATAATAAGCCCATACAGCGAGACAGAAATGAAGCTATTATATAGCAAAATTAGAATAATTTATTCGGCAATAGGAAAATTATCTCATTTCTTTCAGAAAACGAAATTTATATGACATAAATCCGATTACCTGAATTAAGCTAACTATTCCGAAGGCGAACACCGTAGCCCAAATACTCCCAATATAACTTCTCATGCATTCTTCCCTATCTTCAGTAGGCAGTTTTTGACATAAATCCCTTTCCAGTTGAAGGACTGCCGCTGAGTATACGATCGAGAATAGTAGTTCCAAAAAGAAATAAATCCAATAGTAGTATGCGAATATTTTGACATAATTGAGTTTGTTCTGAAAAATAATGATTTTATATTTAAATATATTTTGAAATTAGTAAAGAAAAAAAATTTTCTATACGAGCTACATTGCTCACCTTCAATGTGCCGATAAAACCAATAGTACAAAGAGCAAAATTCGCTAGAAGATAAACAGTCAGGATAAAGTAACCAACATTAAACTTTTCCTTAGTCAGAAATACAACTCGCAAAATTTGGAAGAAATTTTGTATCTATAAGATTTTATATTCAGTTCAAATTCGCTTTCCGGAAATGCAAATTATATATAAAAAATACTCACAGCACCAAGCAAAGCTAAAGTGCGAGTGCCATTTCTTTATAAATTTAAAAGAATAAATTTACTATAACTTGTGAAGGTTAATTTTAACAACATAGTTAAGTTTCTTACTTGAGGTCGATGCATAAACAACACTTTGTCAACATTGTTAACGATGTGTTTTTTAAAACTTAAATTTGACAAAATGTTATATAGTGATGAAGCATCCACTGTGTTACGTTATACTCAACACCGCAAATTTCCCACAGGAATGGAATAAAATGAAATTTATTTGCTCGAGATCAGCTGGCTGAGATTCAGGTTCATTCGTTATTTATCGTTATTCGTTATTTTAAGAAATTAATCATCATGTATTGTCGTTACAAGCACATATACATGTATATGTATTGGATAAACATTTTGATCATTTTGATTCAGTATTAGTATGGTTCAGAACAGGACAATACTATATACAGAGACAACGAATTTCTATTAACGGACGGTCTTTGATCTATCACTATGAGAAAATCTCGTTCATACTTGCATACGAATTTTTGGGGTTACATACAGAATTCCCACCACAAACAACGAATTTCTATTAATGGATGGAATCAGGATGATTCAGGATGATCTATCGTTATGCAACGTCATCATTTAATATGTACCGTTAGCGTTAGTGCAAAACTAGAAATAGGAATCGATTCTGAAAATCTGACGAACTTAAGGCCAACTAAGTTGATCTTTTTTATCTATTGTTATCAATAATTAAACAAATCAATTATATTATTTGCTACGAATCGTTATATAAAAATTCAATAAGAATGTTCGAGTGATACTTGGTTATTGCTACAAATGGAAAAATCAAAAATGAAGAAAAAAGCATTCGAGTTGTACTTGAAATCAGCAGACATTAACGCTATTAATAAATACATTTTATTATTTCACCACAAATTTTCATAAGCCACTGTGATCCGATTGGTGTATTTCAATTTGGATTTCTACAGAGTAGCACAAACAGCATTTAACAACCTAGATAATAACGGTAAACGATTATTGACTTTAACATGTCGAAACTTCTCATGTATTTATGCATTTAGATACTCTTTAAACAGATGAGTGTAATAAATTAGAAAAGCAGAAATTAGATTAACGTGATAAGTTACAAACAATGATATTAAAATGTCGGTGTCGTTTAGTTTGTAAATGCTTTGCTCCTTTGCATACTTTTTGTGACGATTTTACGTACATGTACATAAGTTCGGACATGGAAAGTTTTAATGAACCGATTAGTTGGGACACATGGACATTGCGGGGATGTACTAATTTATGACATTGCTTAAAAGGCTCAACCCACCCTAAGGAAGCTTGCTGAAATTTATGAATTTCGGCAAATAACGTAATGCCAAAGTTAAGTGTAACCTGATGTAATTTCCATTTCGACATTTTTCAAAATAATTTTGGCAAGCATTCTTAATTCACCCACGCGAAAATTTAATATCTCTAAAATCTAGAAATTTTTCTAAATTTTTGGCTTTTTTAACAATCATGGATGTTGCAACTGCATTTTTCCTTATATTTCTTTTTGACAAACTCCATAAAAAAGCACGACGGTTGGATATAACTTCTGCATATAAAATTACCTCAAGTTTAAATATTATTATATAATTTCATTTTGTGCTCAGGCTCGATTAAAGATAAAGTACGCAAAACAAACAAAAAAAATAATGATTATATTTTATATCATGAGTGTTCGTCATGTGATACAAAAAAAGAGATTTAATGAAAATCAGCATAATACCAAGTAAAATAAAAACAAAATATTAATACTTTCAAAAAGCAGTTCATATATATTTATACATAAACATCTATTTTTTTATATCTTTTTATTATTTGATATATATGTACATGTATATTGATATTCACATATATAAATGACGTACAATGCCATAGATATTATTTCAAAAATCAGATTTAGCAGAAAACATCAACCTATTATCTTGAAATAACACACGTGCGCATACTCAAAATAATGCATAGATATTCAAAATAACACACAGATAAATGATATTTTGCAAAAATATGGCATAAATTATCAGAACTAACAATTTTATATTATTATTATATAACAGTTTGTTATAAAACATATAATGATATTATTATATTAAAGATTCTATTGTAAGATGTTTTACTATAAATAAGTTTATATGTTAGTTTAGTGATACTAAATTTAAGATTATACATTCAAGCTGTAGATATTCATAATTAAGACTTTTGAAATTTTAATCTGAGAGAAGATATTATGATTATCTATAGATTTAAGCGTAATATAAATTTCAAATTAATATTTGTATAATAGAATACGATCTTAGATAATGTTTTTATATACTCAAATTAATTATTAAGTTATTTTGTTCTAGAAAAGTAACTAACTTTGATAAGCTTAATAATTTTCAGATTCAGATTTGAACATATTCTAAAATTAATAAAGAAATAAAATAGTATAAATTAAAAGACTGAAATTAAGAGATCAAGATAATCCAAAAGATAATTTATATCAGTCAGATCTTTGTTATAAAATTAATATTAATTTCAAATTATATAAGCACAGTTTATTTATTTATAAAATTTAAAATATATATTTAACTCAATTTTTAACTTTTACACTCCAAATATAAATGATATATTATATTATATTATATTATATTATTTTCATATTTTATTTATTCATTAATTTTTTTCAAGTAATTTATATAATATAAGCTTTAATTAATATTAATATAATATATAAAATTAATAAATATTGAATTCTTTTAAGAAAAGTTATAAAATTATGATTCAAAATTTTTAGAAAAAAATAATTATTTTTATATAATTTTTAGACTAGTAAATCAAAATTTTATATTAAATATAAAATTATAAAAATAATAAAAAATAAAATCATTTTTTATATAATTAATTTAATTTAAATATATTTTTTTAATTAAATTAATCATTTTTATATATATTTAATATATACTTAATCAAATAATTAAGTTTATAAATATTAAATTTGCATCATATTTCTAATTATATAATAATAAATTAATAAATAAAAATATATAATTATATATATTAATTATTATAGCTCATAAAATAACTTAGGCTATTTAGCATTAAAAAATATAGAAAATATAATAATAACAATATCTAAAAATATATGGTAAATGAAAATTTAATAAACTTAGTAAATAATAATAAATCTGTTAATATTAATTAAATTATAATCTGAATTAAGTTTAATTTGAATTAAAATAAGAAATTTTATTCTTATATATTATTTATTTTAATTTTTTTACTAATTATAATTAGTAAAATATGTATTTTTCCTTATATATAAAAGTTTTTAATTTTACTAACAAATATTT